ACTTCCACTCATCAAGGTCCATTCCCCTACAAAAAGCCAAGTCCTCCACACTTATTTCAGAGTACAAATCAAGCCCTCCTTGGTCCAGTTTTATGCATACGAACCATGCTTTTATTTATTTTTTTGAGTTGGAGTCTCACTCTGTCACCCAGACTGGAGTGCAGTGGCTGCTCCTGGTCACCGCAGCCTCAACCTGCTGGGCTCCGGTGATCCTTGCGCCTCAGCCTTCCTAGTAGTTGGAACTACAGACATGCGCTTACCACGCCCGGCTGATTTTTTGATTTATTGTAGAGATGAGGTCTCGCCTGCCCAGGCGGGTCTTGAACCTGCGGGCTCAGGCAATTCACTCACCTCAGCCTCCCAAAGGTGCGGGATTACAGGCTGAGCCACCCAGCCCGGCGATGAAAGATGCTTTTAGACCCAGGGGTTGGCAAATTATGAGGCCAATTCTGGCCTTGCCTCTGTTTTTATAAATAAAGTTTTATTGAAATACAGCCACAACCACTTGTTTACAGATTATCTATTGCTGCTTTCTCATTCCAACAGTAGAGCTGAATAGTTGCAACACAGATCATCTGACCTATAAAGCATAAAATACTGAATCTCTAGCCTTTTACAGAAAAGCTTATAGATTCCTGCCTTACACTATTAAGATGGTCTTCTAAACACTGTCTTCCTCTTAAGAAACAGTCTTCCCCTGAGAAACTTGCAAAGTAAAATTCCTAGTATTGTGATGTTACCTTGAGGAATTATTTTTAAGTTATAATAGGCTCATAGGCTATGTAGTCCTTTATTTAAAAAAAAATTTTTTTTTTGAGAAAGCAGGATTTACTGAAAAGCTCCTACATTGGGAGGAGACCCGAGGGGGCTGCCCTAAAAAAATTTTTAATAGAGACAGGGTCTTGCTGTTACCCAGGCTGAAGTGCAGTAGCACAATCCTAGCTCACTGCAACCTTGAACTCCTGGGTCCGAGTAATCCTCCCATCTCAGTCTCCTAAGTAGCTGGGACTAACTGAACTCAGTGGCTCAGCCTGTAATCCCGAGCTTTGGGAGGCTGAGGTGAATGGATTGCCTGAGCCTATGGGTTTGAGACCCACCTGGGCAACTTGGTGAGACCTCATCTCTACAATTAAAAAAAAAAAAAATCAGCCGGGCGTGATAGCACATGCCTGTAATTCCGGCTACTTGGAAGGCTGAGGCGGAAGGATCGCCGGAGCCCAGCAGGTCGAGGCTGCAGTGGCCAGAACCAGCTACTGCACTCCAGTCTGGGCGACAGAGTAAAACTCCAACTCAAAAAAAAAAAAAAAAGTAGCTAGACATGTACTATGTACCTGCATAGTAGCTATAGACATGTGTACACGTGAGTAATTGCTTTAATTTTTATTTTTGTCTCACTCTGTCACCCAGGTTGTTCTCGAACTCTTGGGCAGAAGCAATCCCCTGCCTTAGCCTCCCAAAGCTGGAGAATATAAGCATGAGCCACTGTGCCCAGCTACTTTATAGTCCTTTCCACTACAGAGAAGGTTTTAAAAGCTCACTTTTGAAGTAAGTCTTATAAGATAGTAGGAATGACGATGATGGAGAAATTGAGAAAGATTTGAAAGAGGGCAGATACCTCTTTGGAGAGTGTTAGCTATGGAGGGGAGAAGAGCTGGGGCAGTGGCTGGAGAGGAATGGTAATCCTAACATATGATAGTAAGTGTAGGCAGGGTGCAGTGACTCAAGTCTGCAATTCCAGCACTTTGGGAGGCTAAGGCAAGAGGACTGCCTGAGTCCAGGGGTATGAGACCAGATTGGGCAACTTGGTGAGACCTTGTTTTCACAATAAATAAAAAAAAATGAGCTGGGCATGGTGGCACACACCTGTGATAACAGCTACTTGGAAGGTTGAGGTAGAAGGATCACCTGAGCACAGCAACTTGAGGCTGCAGTGGCCGTGAGTGTGCCACTGCACTCTAGCCTGGGTGACAGAGTGAGACTATGACTCAAAAAAAAAAAAAAGTATAACCAGGCACTTAGAAAAAGAGTTCTCACACTACTCATCATTACCCTCATAACAATAGTGAAGTCAAAAGAAGATTTTTCTAGCCCGGCTCGGTGGCTCAGCCTGTAATCCCGTGACTTTGGGAGGCTGAGGTAAGTGGATTGCCTGAGCCTGCAGGTTCGAGACCTGCCTGGGCAACTTGGTGTAGACCTCATCTCTACAATAAATCAAAAATCAGCTGGGCATGGTAGCGCGTGCCTGTAGTTCCAGCTACTTGGAAGGCTGAGGTGGAAGGATTGCCGGAGGCCAGCAGGTCAAGGCTGCGGTGGCCGGGAGCAGCCACTGCACTCCAGTCTGGGCAACAGAGCGAGACTCCAACTCAAAAAAAAAAAAAAGATTTTCTAAGTTCTAATGAGTAGTAAACCAACATGTGGAAATATGTTCAGTCGCAGCAGTTATTAAAAAAGAAAAAAAGAAACAATTAATGAGATGCTATTTTCACTGATTACATTAGGAAAATAAATTTTATGGTCAGATAGCATTCATACAAGTTATGGTTCAAAGGTCACTACAACCCACACTGTCATTTCAGCTTCACCTCGGTGGGCCCACAACAAGGCAATATCTCCTACTAGTAACCCCACTCCAACCCATCTCTGGAAAAAAGCTTAGCAAAAAATAATCACATTGAAAAAAAGTTTATTTAAAAAAGTTCTAGCAGCAAGAACAGTAACAAAACAAAAGGAGTGACGGACAAACAAAACAAGGAGGTTATGTCCTGTGGGACTTGTCTCCATTCTTAATCGAGTTCTTTATACCGAGCAAACATGACTCTTCGTACAGCATCTCGGTAAGTCTCGTTGGACTGTCTCTTGCTGGTTCTTCCTGGGGCCCCAACACTGGGGCCCCTCACCCGGCCTTCAGTCTACAAAACAAAGACAAACAATGAAGTGGGCCCTATGAATTAATTAACTTCAGGCCTGTCTTTGACCAGAGGTATTTCTCGACCAGTAAGAACAGGATATACAATTCTTCAGAATCTTTCATTATTAAACAAATACCCAAGGTGAATAAAGAGGGTGGTGATGCCATGATTATAGGATACAGGCTTTAATATCAGAAATACAAGAAGCTCTGTAGGAGAGAGATAAGCCAATCTCTTATGGTTGGCATTTTCAGAACAGAATCAAGGAAACACAAAATGGCAATGTTCCCTCATAACCCCTTTTCTACAAGTTCTCCCTAAAATATGAAGGGCAAAGTCCTTCATGGGAACCAGGACTAATTACATTCTACCTAAATTTTAGCCATCAAAGACCTCTGCTGACAATTCCTCTGAGTTGCCTTCATGTCTTTCTTTTCTTTTCTTTTTTTTTTTTGAGTTGGAGTCTCATTCTGTTGCCCAGACTGGAGTGCAATGGCCGCTCCCGGCCACTGCAGCCTCGACCTGCTGGGCTCCAGTGATCCTCCGCCTCAGCCTTCCAAGTAGCCCGAATTACAGCCATGTGCTACCACGCCCGGCTGATTTTTTGATTTATTGTAGAGATGAGGTCTCGCTGCCCAGGTGGGTCTCGAACCTGTGGGCTCAGGCAATCCACTCACCTCAGCCTCCCAAAGGCACGGGATTACAGGCTGAGCCACCGAGCCCGGCTTTAATTTTTTTGATTTATTGTACAGATGAGGTCTCACCAAGTTGCCCAGGCTGGTCTTGAGCTCCTGGGCTCAGGCAATCCTCTCGCTTCTGCCTCCCAAAGTCCTGGAATGACAGACATGAGCCACCACATCCGGCTAAGAATTTGTATTTCTAACAAGGATCTGGTGAACCACAGCAGATGCCCAAGAAGCAAGAGGTTTCTCAATGATGCGTCCAGGTGATGTCGTTGCTGCTGGTCTGGGACCATCCTTTCAGAACCATTACCTTACAGTAATGCTTTGCTTTTGCTAAGGCCTCAAAGACATCATTGTTATACCAGCAGGGGGAGATAAGTATACAGTAGATTCTCCAAAAATAATATGCCATTGAGTACTAAAGCTCCTTGGAGTTATGGTGTTGCCATGGAGACCTCAACTATTTGGAGAGCAGCCTGTAAATTGGCATCAGGTGAAAATCATTTCATTTGTTTATGTAAAATTTTATTTTAGCAGGAATAACGTCTAGATTCTTGCAAGCCATAGTGCCATGGTTAAGAACTTGGAATTGGGAGTCGGAAATCTGACTTTGGGAAATTGACTTCTCTGATCCTGCCTCCTGGGCTTTAAAACAGGCCCTACTTTATAGAATTATTGGAGGGTTCAAGTTCTTGACACCTTGTTATTATTATTAAAATGTTATTTATTAAAACTCTAAGTAGTTACTTAGTAGTTTCAACTCTTTAGCCTGCCTAAAATTTAGAAATATGTTGCTGTATTTGCTTTTTGAATAACAGTGCTCCTGTTATTCAGCTAAAGGAATGAAAACGTCTAGACGGTACGCCAATTGCTTTGTAAATTCTAATCTCTCCATACAAAATACCAGTAGATGGGTCTTTATTAACAGGGCCAGCCCAAAGAGCGCTAATCGATACTTTATCCCCTAGCCCAGATTTTGTCGACGCCCAAAGTGGGGTGTGTCCTGAACTTTGAACTTTGAGATGGAACAAAGCAGGCGTACACTTGCTGCGGGTAGGCGGGACACTCACGTGGGGTCCGACCAGACCAGGCCCCACCCAGCCAGGCCTTCGATGGAGCGGGCGTCGGCCGGGTGTGAGAAGCCGCTATCAGACGGGCGGTGTCCTGCAGCCTGGCGCTCGCGGCGAACGGTCATACCTGTCGTCACCGCCCCCCTCCTGGCCACCCCGGATCTTGGCCTTGCGGCGACAATGGCGGGGG